AGGTTTTGGGGTTTAGGGTTTAGGGTTTAGGGTTTAGGGTTTAGGGTTTAGGGTTTAGGGTTTAGGGTTTACGGTTTGGCGTAACAGGCGGGGGCTGTTGGAGCTTGCGGCTTACGGGATTCGACATTTCGGGCTTCGGGGTTGAGGAACGCGCCATGTCTGCAAACTTGAACTCACTACCACACGTAATTCCCTTAAAGGGCATCCATCGGAAAAGGTATATGCAATCCCTTCAAGGGTATCTAGCTAGGGTTTTAGGGTTCAGCGCTTAGAGGGCTCAGGGTTTATAGGGTTTAGGGTCTAGGCTTCGGGGGTCAGGGCTTAGGATTTTTGGGTGTCTGGTTTAGGGCTCAGGGGCCTAGGGCTTAGGGTTTAGGGTTTAGGGTTTAGGGTTTAGGGTTGAGGGTTTAGGGTTTAGGGTTTAGGGTTTAGGCGCCGAGGAGCATCTGCTGGGTCAACTCTGGCACGGTCAGGGCGCGGTACTGCTGGGAGCCGCGGGAGGTCAAAGGGGCGAAGCCGGTCATGAAGAAGTGCAGGCGAGGGAAGGGCACCAGGTTCACGGCAATCCTGCAGTTCAGGGTTTAGGGTTTAGGGTTTAGGGTTTAGGGTTTAGGGTTTAGGGTTTAGGGTTTAGGGTTTAGGGTTTAGGGTTTAGGGTTTAGGGCCCGCCAGGAGTATCAGAAGGAGGCGTTACGGGAGAGAGCCAAGGAACTTGCGCAGGTCGCAGTTGAGCTGACCTGCGACGGGCCCGACAGGTGAGACCCTCTGGATTTGCTGAACGCCCCTAAACCCTAAACCCTAATTCCTAAACCCTAAACCCTAAACCCTAAACCCTAAACGCATTTTATAATAGGGTACCTCATTGCCTCCTTCCCTACTGAGAACCAATAAGGTTTAGCGCTCAGGATTCAGAATGTTGAAATTATTGCGACCACTATGTTAATCTTCCTTAGCTCTTTTGTAGAAACACAAGACATATGATCCCCATAGGGGGACTATATATATATATATGTAGAAGACCCTAAACCCTAAACCCCAAACCCCCCGATGCAGGCGCCTGGGAAGCGCAGGCAGCAAGTCACTCCACTCATGGCGGCGGAGACCAGGTGGTTCCTCAGAGCGTCGGAGGTAACATCAAGATTTCCTGTTAGGGTTTAGGGCTAAGGGCTTTGGGCTTAAGGACCCTAAACTTTAAATCCTAAACCCCAGACTTTGACGCGTGGACTTCAAACCCTGACTTTACACCGTGAAGCCTTCCATGAAGTGCCAACACAATTCCGAACCTGAAGCCCTCGCCCCACTCGAAACCCAATATCGCAGTACATCGTACACATCCTGTCACGTCGAATCTTAACACATTTGTCGGTGAATATGTGCACGTGTACTCTTATGTACATGCCGAAGTAGATATGAACGCATACCAAAAACCTGCATAAATTCATGCATACATGTTTCTCTCGACCCCAAACCCTCCCTACAGATGCCCTAACCCTGACTACAAAAACGGCCTGTGCCCTTCAGAACAAGGTGTCCAAAGCCTTTGGAACAGAACCTGAACCCTCGAGCAGAAAGCCCCCTAAATCCCCTGAAGCCCGAAGCACTTAACCCTAACCTCTGAACCCTGAGGCCCTACACCCGAAAGCCCCAAAGTCCTAAACCCCTAACCCCCTAACCCCTAAACCCCCAACCCCTAAACCCCTAAACCCCTAAACCCCTACATCCCTAAACCCCTAAACCCCTAAACCCCTAAACCCCGAAACCCCCAAACCCTTAAACCCCTAAACCCCGAAATCCCTAAACCCTGAAACCCCTAAACCCCTAAACCCCTAAACCCCTAGACCCCAACCATGAAACCGTAAACCCTGAACCCCAAACCCCCAAAAGCTTCCCTCTCTGCAGGCCAGGTGCAGGTCGCCGTAGGTCGGTGTCGTCAACTTCAATGTGCCTTGGCTAAGTTAAGCGTTTGGGGTTTAGGGTTTCAGGCTTCGGGTTTGGGGTTTAGGGCTAGGGTTTAGGGTTTAGGGCTTTGGGGCCCACGGTAACCTAGGAAAAATAACACTTTTTTGATTCGGTTCATATGGGGATCTAATCGTAAACAAGGGTGTGTCCTGGTCGGCTAGGGTTCGAGGGCTTCTAGGATTTCAGGGTTTAAGGCTTCAGGGTAGCCATCAGTATCATAACTACCCGTTGTGCTATGAGGGGGAGCCGCAGCCCGTCACCTTGAAGCCGCAGGGGAGGGAAGCCCCGGCAATGTCTGGCGACTTTACAGGGCACTGAGCCGAACATTGCTGGGCACAGGCTACATGCAGAAACCTTGTGTTCCACAGCTGCATGTCAGCGTTGCCTGCCAAAATAGTTTGCTAAGGAACTTTAAGCAAGGCTGCCGAGCATATGGGCATATTGCACACAAGAATTTCTCCTCACCACGGCAACTTCAACTGGGCTCTTTGAACAGCAACCCAGCTTTGGAACCCTTAGCCTAAACCCTAAACCCACTACCTGCAACCTAGGTTCGGAAACAGATGTCATAGAGAGCTTCATTGTCCAGCAAGAAGGACTCATCGGAGTTCTCCACCAGCTGGTGAAAGCTCAGCACGGCATTGTATGGCTCGACCACGGTGTCAGACACCTTTGGCGAAGGGATCACAGAGAAGGTCTCCATGATGCGATCCGGATACCTGGGCTGGTGGTGTAAAGCTTGCAGTGACGCCACCGTATCCGGGGCTGCACAAACCCAACCTGCCGCAAGTCCTGAGATGAATATCGGACCAAATTCCCGACACTTGATGGTTGTTTCTCTTGGTAGAACCACATTGCAATGAGTACCCCTTTTTGGGTTTGGTTACCTTATATGGGAATTGGGATATTCCCCAATACGAACAGTCCTTAATAGGGATTATAGTACCCCCTATTATAGTCCCTACGAAAGTTTGCTAGTTTTAGGGGGAACACCCCAATAAGGGAACCTAAAACCAAAAACATGAGCAAAAAGGGTATCACTGGGCCGCCAAGCTCCGGCTGTGGGGGGGGGGGTGGGGGGGGGGGGGGGGGGGCGGGCAGAGGTGGGGGTCCTTGAGGTTCTCTGGGAGTAAGCACCTCCACCTGTTACCCTAAACCCTAAACCCTAAACCGCATACTCATTCTAATCAAGCATATGGTTGAGGCCTTATTCTAGTGGCAACGCCGCAGCCCGGGCACTCCTCGCGGACCTTGGAGATAAGAAGTGTGCCCATGCCTGTGCCACTGAGTGTAGAAGCAACTCAACACCACAAACCCTATCAACCACAGCTATCCCTAAACCCCAAACTCCCTAAACCCTAAACCCTAAACCCTAAACCCTAAACCCCAAACCCCTAACCCTAAAACCCTAAAACCCTAAAGCCTAAACCCTAAACCCTTAACCCTAAACTCAAACCCTAAAACCCTAAACCCTTTAAACCCTAAACCCTAAACCCCAAGCCCTGCAAGATGTTGTGCCCCCTGCCTGCACCGGTGCCGCCCCCGAGGGAGTGGCACAGCTGAAAGCCCTGGAGGCAGTCACATCCCTCGGCTTCCTCAGTGGCTGGGTTTAGGGTTTAGGGTTTAGGGTTTAGGGTTTAGGGTTTAGGGTTTAGGGTTTAGGGTTTAGGGTTTAGGGTTTAGGGTTTAGGGGTTTAGGGGTTTAGGGGTTTAGCGGTTTAGGGGTTTAGGGGTTTAGGGGTTTAGGGGTGTAGGGGTGTAGGGGTTTAGGGGTTTAGGGGTTTAGGGGTTAGGGGTTAGGGGTCAGGGGTTTAGGGGTTTAGGGTTAGGGGTTTAGGGTTAAGGGTTAAGGTTAGGGTTAAGGGTTAAGGGGTTAAGGGGTAAGGGTTAAGGTTTGGGGTTAGGGGGTTAGGGTTTAGGGTTTAGGGGTTAGGGGTTAGGGTTAGGGGTTTTAGGGGTAGGGTTTAGGGGTTTAGGGGTTTAGGGGTTTAGGGGTTTTGGGGTTTAGGGGTTTAGGGTTTAGGGTTTAGGGGGGGGGTTTAGGGTTTAGTTTAGGGGGGGTTTAGGGGTTTAGGGGTTTAGGGGTTTAGGGGTTTGGGGTTTAGGGGTTTAGGGGTTTAGGGGTTTAGGGGTTTAGGGGTTTAGGGGTTTAGGGGTTTAGGGGTTTAGGGGTTTAGGGGTTTAGGGGTTTAGGGGTTTAGGGTTTAAGGGTTTAGGGTTGTGCGTTCGGGGTTTAGGGTTCAGGGTTTAGCGGTTTAATGGTGTAGGGTTTTAGGGTTTAGGGTTGTGCCCTCTGCTTCCTCAGCGGCCGAGCTTCTTTGGGTTTAGGGTTGAGGGGTTGAGGGCTTAGGGTTTAGGGTTGTTCCTCAGTGGGCGAGCATTCTTTTGTGTTTAGGGTTTAGGGGTTTGAGGGTTTGAGGGTTTAAGGGTTGAAGGCTTTAGGAGTTGACTGTTTTAGGCTTCAAGGGCTGAGGGTTTAGGGTTGGGGGGCTGGGGTTTAGAGGGCCTGTGGTATTAGGAAAGGTTAAGAAAAAAGGTTTCCCGCTTAACGCCTGAGAATCTTTGCGCACAACATCGAGCACCGAGTCAATCAACTCGGCGCCCTCCGTGTAGTGGCCCTGTGCAAGTTGACGCATGACTCAGGTTTAGGGTTTAGGGTGTGGGGTTTAGGGCTTAGGGTTTAGGGTTTAGGGTTTCGGGTTTAGGTTTTAGGGCTTAGGGTTTAGGGGCCCCCTAAACGGGCCCCTAAACCCTACAGCCCTAGACTGCTCCCAGCTGCTGTCTATCGCAAGTCGCACCAAAAGCTATTACGCAAGCTCAACAGCAAACGTCTTAGAACTCTGTACTACCATTTGCTTAAGAACCCCACCCCCCCCCCAAAAAAAAAAAAAAAATATATATATATATATAAATAAAATATAATAATAATAATAATAATAACAATAATAATCACTATATCACCCTTAGAAGGAAGAATGTAAATTTAATTTTGGGGGGTTCTTATAAGCAACTCGAAGTGTGTGCAAGCCTTAGCCCAATCGTTACCGCACCATGGCCTTAGCCCAATTGTTTCCGGCGCCCGTCTGGCCAAACACGAAGTTGTCCGGACGGAAGAGCTGACCAAAGGGCCCCGCTCGAACGGAGTCCATGGTGCCTGGCACGATTCGAGGTCCACGAGTGCGGGTGAGAAACCGCAGGATACAGTAGCTTACAAATCACGTACTTTCCTAACATCCGGCATTTTGTGAGAAGGCCTGGCTCCAAATCCATGAGGATCGCGCGTGGGACATAGCGCCCACCGGTTGCCTCGTGTACAATGTCTGGATGAACTGCGCACAAGCTGCAGTCGCTTCGTAGATCGTTGGAGGCAAAAATAGCAGGAGCAAAACCCCCTCAAAACCCAAAAAACAAAAATCAAACTCCCGCGCCTCGTTGAAGTACACGTTGATGCCTGGATGCAGGCATGCGTGCGGTTGCTTCGTCAGTGCTACAATAGTATCCGTCATCAACGTTATCATCATCATCATCATCATCATCATCATCATCATCATCATCATCATCATCATCATCATCATCATCGCCGTCATCACCATCATCATCATCATCATCGCCGTCATCACCGTCATCACCGTCATCACCATTATCATCATCACCATCATCAACATCATCATCATCATTATCATCATCATCATTATCATCATCTTTTCTTCACTCGCGGCGAAAGTGTCACAATCGTCCTGCGGGCGCCTATCAACTGATTATGACAGTCGGCCATTCTAGACGGCGGCACGTGTGCCCTTGTGGAGCACCAGCATTAAAAGAGCACCGAGGTGCATTGTATCGTGACGAGATATTCTCATCCCGGAAGTAAAGTTTGCCCTTACATCGATGACTTAGTCATTCAACGCGTGCAAGAAAGGCGTGTTTGCATCACAGACAACCACTGTACACTGGTTTGGTAGCGACTTCCGCAAGGCCATCCATCGATCTTGCATGATGCGCATGTCATCTGTCAGCCGCGTTGCGACTTGCTGAATGTTTTCCATCTCCTTTGCAACCGCATCAATCTGAGCCTGCAAGAACAGCGACTTGCCCGTGGCGCTCAGCGTTCGGCTTGTGAAATGGAAGGCTCAGCAGCTACAAACGGAGCGACGGCATTGAGATGCTGTCTCACCAAAAACACAAGGTATATGTTTGTGCTCAGATGCTCAAGCTCATGGGTCTCAAGGAGTCGAGGCCTTTTTTCGTCATCGTAGAGCCACTGCTTGCCACACTGTTGCAACACAGCTGTGTAGTGCCCCTCATGTGGCTGGGCACCATGATGCTGCACACAAGCGACAACTTGGTATGGGAGCCATCGGATGGAGAGGTTATCAGCCGTGAGAAACTCAGGTATTTGCACAAGATTAGGGAGAAGGTAGGGATGTTTGCGCTTCTCTGCCCAGCCCGGTGCGCGATACAGGAATCTAGGAATCTGAATGCAGAGCATCGGCGGGGCACGAACGAATGCCTGTATGGTCGCACCTTGGTGCCAGCCCGCTATCAAAACCTGGATGTCTACAGCGTCGGCGCTGTGTGGCTCATCCAACCCTAGTCTCAGGCACTGCGCTGCACTTGTGCTAGCATGCCGAACAAAACCCTGGTCAGTAGTGCTTCGCGACTCCCAGTGGCCTGGGCTGACAGCTTGCGTGAGCTTCGGAAGCAGGAAATCGCCAAGCTCTGCAACATCATGCTGCTGATAAGGTTCTGGCCACCCCAAGAGCCCGAACCCCAACAGACGCGAGGCCCATTGAGCCTTCCCTGTTTGTTTCCCGAACACCTGTGGCAACACATGTGAACAATCCGCACAGCGAGCTGCATGAAGGAAGCAATACAGGAAGGAGTTGAGGTAACACTGATTTCGACCGCCCTGCAAAACAACACTGGACAGTGGAAAATGACATGTGGCAGCCTGTGCAATCGCCGGTGGGGTGAGGCCTGTCATCGACGGCGGAAGGTGAGGTCCGCCAATTGCTTGGCAAGGGCCGTCTGCGGCAGGCTGTCCCGCTTGATAGCGGTGCCTATCAGCTGTGTCACGGCATTCGATGTCAGCTTCATGAAGGCCTCGTGCATCTCCAACGAGGTTTGACCCCGCAAGGCAATCTCCAGGTGGAAGGTGGAGGTCGGCGCAATCTGAAGGTTCATCTTGTGGAGGCTGGGGCGGGACTTGAAGGTCTGGATTATGTCCCCCTTCATCTCTGTCAGCATCCAAGTGAGCAACCGAACGATCTCCGTGTGAGGAACAGGCTGCCGGGCCTGGTTCAGCACAAGTTGCTTGGTTTTGGAGTCCCAAGCAAGATACGGCCAATGGTTTTCCTTGGTCAGCCAGCCTTTTTTCTGGAGAGCTGTTCGGCCATCTTCTGTGGCCGCCTCCTTCTGCACTCTTTGCAAGAGTTCCTGCAACATTGACTGCAAGAGCAGGGTACGGAGTGGAGAGGTGAGCTTCTCCGGCGTCTGGCTTCGTTTCTCGTTCCACTCTTTCGCCACCATCATTAGCGGTTTGAGGATCCCTTCCTGCTCGTGTTTCATGAACATGACAAAGCACTTCTCGTGCCGAAGGTGCGCTATGGTCTCCTCCTGTTGCAGGATGACGCGGCACATGAGACGAAGCGGGTCCTGCACCTGCTGCTGCTGCGGGGGCGCTCCATACATGTTCACAGGAGCGAAGCGATTTCCCGCACCCATCCCCCGAAACTGCTGTTCCGGGCGAGCCCGCTTGGGCGCCCTGGCCGGCATGTACCTTTGCATGGCTCCCTCGTCGAAACAGTGCGCGAAGATGCTCGCCTCGAGCTCCCCCGCCCCCTCCATCATGTCCTCGAACATCCTGCTGCCGGCGACAAGTCACAACAGCTAGTACTAACTGAAAAAGCGGCGTGCATTGTTCGATGTGCCGTCCTGGTGCACCAACGCGGTGGCCACAGAAAATGCACGTCCGATCCCTAGTTAGATGCGACTTAAAAGTTTTGCATATGGTGTTGACCTCATTGAACAGATGTCCATGCGTGGTCTGATGCTCCTTCCTTATGTGCTGCTTGACATGCCGGAAGTCCGCCACCCATTGGTGACAGAGTGAGCAGTAGTTCCGCAGTTCAGTCATCAAGGACGGAACCGACAGCCAACATTCCCACTGCGACAGCTTACTAAGGAAGGCTTCACGAAGGACAAGCGGCAGGTCAGTCACATTTTGCCCTGCAAATTGCGGCAAGTCGGCTGCCGGCGGGGCAGCCACTTTGGCCAAGGCCTGGGTGGAGTCTAAGGGGGATCGAATGAAACTGTCACCTCCCAGTTTGGGACAAGCGCCGCCTTCGATGTGGAGCTTGAGGTGCCGCCATTTGAAGAATTGCCTATCACACAACTTACACTGCGGCATGCCCGCCACGGCGTGAAGATGTGGGACAAAGATGGTAGGGGTTCGAGTGGAGTGGGCAGGGAGGGTCTTATGTTTAAGCTTACTATGGATCCTCATGGCGTTCTCACTCACGAATGTTGCTTCACACATGGGACACGAGATTGCAGCTGACACCACTACTTCATTGCTAATGGATTGTGCCTCCTGGAGGAGAACATCAGCCATGAGCGAGGCTGTTTCCTTCAAGTAGCACAGAATGCGCGGCGCCGTGGTGATGTCTGGGGCAGTTGTGGCCTTGACATCCAATCTGGACTGATGTTGCTGCAGGGCATGCTGCATCGTCCACCCTGGCTGGGCCAGACCCGCGCGTTCCCATATTGCTGCATTAGTGATGCGGGTCAAATGGGCTGGGAGTCTGAGGATTGCACGAAGGTGCCGCGTCAGCTCCACAGTGATGCGCCTCAGTGTGGAAGAGTTGAACCCAACCACGTGTTGCGAGTAGAAGATGCTAGAACAGACGCACGCTTGCCAGAGGCGGATTCTATACTGCTGGCTCAAGTGGTGTGTTCCATTCAGGGCCTTTCGCAGGTTTTGATATCTACCTTGACCGGCTTTAAGACGATGCGCTGTATTCTTCTCCAGCCTCCTTTGGTATGAGATGATGGATCCCAAGTACTCATGATCAGTTTTGACAGGTATTCCACACTCACGTCCATGAACCTGGACTCGCAAGTAAAGCTGGCCTGCAGATTTATAGGTGCACGCATGCAGTGCTGACTTGGCCTCACGGCCTACCAGCCGGATGAGTACCGCTGTTTTCTTGTAGTTGATGCTCATGTGCATTGTTTCTAACGTCTCAAGGATGAGTTGCAGGTCGGCAACGGCTTGATCAAGGTCACTTCTTACACGAATCAGCCAGGCATTCCAACAGTCATCGGCAAACATGGTCATGGTTCTTTCTAGCCAAGTTTGATCACGAGCTTCTCGAAGACGGAGCATAAAGGCAACTGTGAAGTATGACCATAAGTAAGGTGCAATTTTACACCCCTGTTTGATTCCGTTGGAAGTGCAGGTCTGTCCACGATGGTCGCCAACACTGTAGTGATATTTGGCTTCATAGTGGAGGCGTTGTATGACGAGAATGACATCAGGATGAACCCCATGTTTCTCTAAGGTGGCGTAAATGCAGTCCCTGTTCACGCAATCGAAAGCGCGCGACAAATCAAGTGACAGTCCCATGCCTCCTTGGCATCCCTGCCGACATTTCCCAGCCTGAAGCTGGAAGCGATCAACACGATTTTGCCTGATGAGATCTGCGACCTCTCGAAAATGTTGGTGCGCCCTTGTCAGCGCATCCGCAGTGCCGCGTCCCCTGGTGAATGCGTACTGCGGCAGGTACTGCAAAAGTGGGAGCAGATTTTGGAGCAACTGTGCACGCAACAGACCGGCGAGAATTTTGCTTGTGGGGCATTGCAAACCTATTGGCCTCATACTCTTGACGTCACAGGGTGGCTTGCTTGATTTCGGCAGCCAAACCACATGTGTGTCCCGCCAATCCCCGTCAAGATTCCCCGGCTGGCCGGAGGCAAAATGAGATGTGAACGCTTGATTGAGAACAGGGGCTATAGCATCAGCACACAGCCGCCAGACCGGGGTAGGGGCTACATGTTTGGGAACTGCCTTACCTATGCCGAGGCTACGGACTTCAAGGGTAATGTCTTTAGCTGTCCACTGAAGGCCATCCCTTATGACTGCAGTGGGCGCTTGCTCTGTCTGGGCCGCAAACGTGGCGTCGCCATACTGGATAATGGCCGTCAGTTGTTCCTCAGACGACAGGAGCCGCCCTCTACAATCCTTCATGCGTGAGGCTTTGAGCTGAGTTTTCGGCGTGAGGCGCCGCACCACGCTGTAAAGGGTGCGCTGGTCCCCTCGGGCTGCAGCTGATTCGGCTATGGACACTTGCTGGTGCAGCATCTGTTGCTTCAGGACCTTGCTGCACTGCCTCAGGGCAGCCGAGGCTTTGGCAAACTGCGCAAGCAAGTGCCACTGCCGCCAGATGCCTCGCACAGTGCACACGCGAGGCCGCTTTGCAAGACGGTATAGGTCCCATGTTTGGCGGGCCGTGATCTGATAGGTAGGGTGCGCACTGATGCGATCATCCTTCTTGATCTTTGGCGGGAAGGCCAAAGATGCCTCCTGCAGAAGGATATGATTAATGTCTTTCTGGACGACATTCAGATCTGACGAGCTGACCTCCTGTAGCCTGTCTGCAATGCGGCGTTGCAGGTCCAGTGCCTCGGGAGCACGGGCAGTGACTGCCTGCTGCAAAGCTGGAAGGTCGACCCGCGGCTGAGAGGTCTGCTGTCGCTCCGACTGCAAGTAAAAGGGCACCGTTCTCAGTTCAGCATGCACTGGGTAGTGACCACTATTCCTATGAGCACCAACAGGGAACCCCTCAAGTGATCGGGCCCACTTGGCCTGGCCTCCGGACACGCGGCGCCGCACGGCCACAAAGTCAATTTGCGTGCGGCCTGTCGGGCCGTAGTATGTTGCTGGGCTAGAGTCATGCCAGGAGTTGAGGACAACTAGGGCCTGATCAGCCAGGAGGGTCTGAAGCTCCTTGTCGTAGGTAGATGCATTCGGCAAGATAGCAGGCCCTACTACTCCAGGCTGTGTCTGCAGACTAGAGTTAAAGTCGCCGCACAGAATGACCTCGCATCTTTGAGGTAGCTGGGTCAGAGTCGCAGCGAGCTTGGACCAGATTTCATGTCTGAGGGCCTGATTCGTAGACGTGCTAAGGTGACTACGCCACACGTGCTGATACACTCCTAGTATGGCAACTGGCAAATTGGTGCGTCGCAAAGTGGCCTGGACCATTACCAACCTACCCGGCACAACTTCGTTAATCTTAGGGTCCTTGAACACAGTCTGGTTAAGGAGGAGGAGAATGCCTCCGTACCTGGAGTGAGCTTCTGGGTCCGAGCTTCCCGCCGAGTGCATGGCTAACCATTTACCCGAAACGAAATCTCCGGTGGTACCCCAATGTGTTTCTTGGACTACGGCTAGGTCAAGGCTGGGCTGCATATCACACCACATCATGAATTCATGATATAATGCTGAGCTTAAGCCTCCTGAATTCCAGGAAATGAGGCTGAGCAGCTTGTTGTGCTTCGTGAGCTGAGCATCGCGCCCGGAAGTCGACTTCCTGCGGGGCAGTGGTTGTTTGGGGAGAGGTAAAGCTCCTAAGGTCTGTGTTGTATGCCATTGTCCTTTGTACCACGTGCCGCCAGAGGCAGCAGTGGCCGCACGAAGTCTTGCACGCCTGTATGCTCGCTTTATGCCAGCAAAGCTTCGGGCTGCTGGTGTTCTCTGGTGCGCCTGTCCGCAAGGCTTCCCCGCTGTTACTGCGGCTGCAGCTCCAGCAGGTCCCCCCCCTGCTGCGGAAACAGGGAGAACCCTCGCCCCGCCTACCTCTATCATATAACTTTGGAACATCAGAACAACGAGGTAGGTTCCGGATTTGGGACCGGATCGGCATCTTGAGTGCACGGGTTTGTTTTCGGCGGAAACTGTGCTCCGATTTGGGCGGTGAAGGCAATTTTGTGAGGGCTTGGGCTTCGTCCTATCAGCAACCCTAGCAAATTCACTATTAACCCGATGTGAAGAATCGGCCATGTTGGCAGGGCCTGCGCAAGTAGAGCCAGGCAACAGTGGCCGACGGATCTTGCAGCAGTCGGGCCTGACCGATTTACACGGGTAGGGATTAGGGCAGTAGGGGTGAAGGACACGGGGCCTCTGAAAGCGGCGAGCCCGAAGGCTGCGCGGACGACACAGCTGCAGTTTCCCTCCCCATTGGCGAACGCCAGCATGTCCTCGCCTAGGCTTGAGGGTCTCTGATTCTCCGGCGACGTCTTTCATGGGTGGCCTCATATTCAAACAGCTGCCATCGTCGCAAGAATTTCCCGCGCAGTTTGACCCGGGCAATGCGCTGAACTTCGCACCAATTGGCTTTGCACACTTGTCTACGGATGGCCCCAATTTTCCCTGCCAGGGACCGACTTGGTATGTCCGGCTCGTCATGGAGCACTTGCTCCCGAAAGAAGCTGACAACCTGGCTTTGGGACTGTTGAAGGCATGGTCCGTCGAGCACCAGCGAGGTGTCGCTGAAGGTGTAGCTATTGCCACTAACACTGGCGTCTCCATCCTCATCCGACGCGCTTCTCGATGTGGAGCAGCTGCTGGGCGGCGCATTGGACGATCTGCCACGAGACCCGGCATCTTCGGTGCGCCTGCCCTGTGTTGGCTGAGACTCTGTTCCCCTGCCGTCATGCGCATCATCGTCGTCATCCACTCTGGATGGGTTCCTCTCTGCTCTGACCGGAGGCGGTCCATTGGCTGGCATCGACGATGGTGGTCCACTTGGCCTGCCGTCGTCGGGCACAGGAGGCCCACAGACGCCACCATCATGTGGAATGCTAGCCAGTTCCTCAGCGGCATCCTCGGCCGCACATAACCAGTCAGCGACGCTGTCGGATTCAGCATTGCTCATAGACTACACCGAAGACAACAGCACATCCGCAAAGAGAAAACCTAAAGCAACAGTTTCCGCGGGCACTCTGGCTTGGGCCGCGGGGCTTCATTATCATCATCATCATCATCATCATCATCATCATCATCATCATCACCGTCATCGTCATCACCATCGTTCGTCACCATCGTCATCGTCATCATCATGATCGTGCGTTTTTGTGCACTGCGTCCTGCCGGCGGCAGCCCCGTGCCAAGAGGCGTGAGATATTGGGTGGAAAAGCACAGGGTCAATGATTTCACCAGTATCCAGCAGCGGCGGCGGCAGCAGCAGCAGGAGGAGCAGGAGCAGGAGCAGGGCGGGAGCAGCAGGAGCGGTGGCAGCAACAGCAGCAGCAACGGCAGTAGTAGTTGTCGTCGTAATCGTACGACCGTCGACAACGCGGAGGGGATTCCGAGCCAAAGTCGATTTGCAAGATGAGCTATCATGATAGTACAAACCCTCGCCCAACCTATCTCACCCCCAGACTGCCCCAAACGCCCTGAATCCCAGAAGACGCAGGGCCAAACACCCAGGCGAGCCACGCTCGAGCTGAAGATCGGAGTCGCCATGGTAGGTTCCAGTCGGGTCAATGCCGTGCTCATCCGCGATGACCTCCCAGAACTTCGCTCCGATCTGGTTTCCGCACCTCGCGCCCGCACAGCTAGCGAGGAGGAGGAGGAGGGGGCTTGAGTGCACTGAAACACTTCATCTGGAACATTCCATAAACGTAAGCCACACTTCCGACGGGGACAGGAGAGTAGGTACCCTTGACCGTCAAAGCGGGAAATCTTGCCAAACACTTCCAGGTTGTGATTGGGACGTTCATTAGAACTTCCTATAATTTGTGAACGCTACTTATTGGTGTGACGATTTCAACAACCCATGGAGGCGACTTTTATCTTTGTTACCCTAAGCCCTAAAACCTAAGCCCTAAATAAGAATCCTAAATTCCTAGGAGCAAGTCTTGACAAGGCTCTGGCCACCCTGAACGTGCACGAGCTCGCGCATGGCTGTGAAGGGATGCAAGTGTGGGGGACGCAAGAACTGACCGATGGCTGATGGCTGCGCTGGGCGATATCTCCGCGTGGGCACACGGCCAAGGGCTACAGAAGTAGGGACAACAATAATAATCATCATTATCATCATAATCATAACCCTCATGGAAACCGTCATCACAACGTTGAGAGCAACTGAAGGGCGTCAGGCTATGGGTCGATAGGACACTGCGAAAGAAGTCACATCTTTGTTCAGGCGGGAGGGTACTTACTTCTGGCTGTTCTGGGTTTAAGGTTGAATGAAGGTTTAGGGTTTAAGGTTCATGTCTTAAGGTCTAGGGTAGGGTTGAAGGTTTGGGGTTTAAGGTTTAGGGTTGAAGGTTTAGGGTTCCAGGCTCACCTCACACGGCCCCCCAGTCTGAGAAAGGGGGTTTAGGGGTTAGGGTTTTGGAATTCCGTCATAAAGTCAGAACGGTTGCCTATAAGGATACTGTTCTTGAACCCCATCGTGCCACCGCACCAAGTACAAAATGGTCACGCCCAGACAGAGGTAGGAGAAAAGCAACCCCCGAAACAGATCCAGAACCCCTTTAACCCAACACCGAACAGCTAATTTCCACGTCAACCCCCAGTAGAATCGCCTATGCCCTCCACTCCTTTAAGCCCCTAAGCCCCAAACCCCAAACCCGAAACCCGAAACCCGCAGCCACTGCAGTGGAGCCGCCTGCTTAGAACCTGCGCCTGTTTACTTGTCGGAGAGAGCGGCTCCTTCCCAGGCCACAGTCGGCTGAGAGTTGAAGGGGATTTCGAGGGCTTGGAGGTGCCATTGACGTTTTTAAACTCGGTGGGTTAGGGTTTTGGGTCCTGGTTTTGGGTTTGGGGTTTGGGGTTTTGGGTTCAAGGGGCAAAATCATGAGGAGAAAAGTGCCTTGGTGGATAGTTAGGGGCACCCCCCCCGAAGTCCACGAATGAACACCTGGCGCTTCGAAGCTTTCGGGCCCTTCTGCTGGCCTCAGCCCCAAAACTCTATCAGGGTTTAGGGTTTAGGGTTTAGGGTTTAGGGTTTAGGGTTTAGGGTTTAGGCCCTT